AATGGCACGGTTTGATCGACACACACAGAAAACTAATCGAAATTATATAACTTTAATATTTTGTAACTCCGGTGTTCAAGGAGGTCTCTGGAGACCTCAACATCTACAGTCAGCATGAGAAATCCTTTTTGTTTTCATAAACGAAATTAGACTAGAAAAGCATGTCATTTACGAAAGTTTCAACAGTTCTAGTAGAAAACTAACAATTTTGCAAGTCATTATATTGTGGGACTATCAAAGGGTACATCTATGGAAAACTTAAAATTCAATAACTTGAGAATGGAATGAGTTGTAAAGATGAAACTTTGTATGAATATCCCAGATATATAAAAGAGTCATATAAAGAAATTTGAGCTCTTAACTACTTTTCTGGACGGAGATCTTAATTTTTTTACTTTTTCTATTTTTCGCTTGGAAATCTGGAAAAACCACCTAAAGGAAAAGCCGTCGGCACAAATCCTTTGTAACTTTTAACAACCTCGATACCCTCTATCGATTGATGTATGTACGAACGAAATCAGAGTTCAGCATGTTCATAGGATGCCTCATCAGTATTTTGAGAACGGCAAAACCATTTGTAGTCGGAGAAAAATGGTATTACACAGATAGATACATATGACTTTCAGCTATCCACTGATATAAAATTTTGTGAAAATTTATTACTTTTAATTGGTGCTATTCAATTTCCAGCGCGTTGCTCTTAACTGGTTATAATTCCTCGATTTGAGGTAATTATAACCAGTCAATGTATACCGCTGGGGTAATTATAACTAGCAAAAATGGCTGAGACGATATAAATCAACTTTGATCCAACGGTGAACTTTTACGTTTTCAATTAAAAATTAGTCCAGCTTGTCGAGAATTTCGAACTTTATCTACCTGATGAATTGCCAGTCAATCAGCTTAATGAGAAATTAGTAAAATCAAAAGATGGAGTAAACCAAAAACAACTTCCACCATCTCTCAGAAGGTGATTTTGATAGTATGTCAAATGGTAAAATTATTCAGAACCTTTAAACTCTACCACATATCTCGTGGATAAATAACTAAATTTAATATAGTATACAACATTAAAAGACACTGATCAAAAGTCAGAAAACTATATGAAAGCTCCATGGAATATTGTGAATTATAGATTAGAATATAAAAGCAAAACATGCGAGACGTATTCGTGAACAGTTAAAAATAATAAAGCAAAGCTTTCTTAATTCATTTAGGTATATATATGTATATTAGGGCGGGTCAAATTTTTTTGCTCCCTACAATTTGACCCGCCCTAATGTATATGGTAATATATCATATGTGAATGAAACATTAGTCTACATCTGACTGTGTGAAAACAGCAACGAGACAGCTAAACCTAACAATGAATTTAAAAAAATATCTACCATTATCATCTAAAAACAGAAAAAGTAACAAAAACTATGAGTTACCGTAGCGCGACACAAAAGAACTTTGACCATTTCACTCATCTATGAACATGATACTCCGATCATATGGTGAGAGCGTCTATGAGAGCTTATTAATTAGAAATATGAAAAATTACCCACCCGCTGTTGCTTCTGTGCCGGTGTCTGACCCCTTAACGGGTAATAAAAATCTTGCTATTTGTCCATCATCTTCGTTAGTTGCTAACCATTTTTGACATCGAAATTCGTATTTACGATGTTGATCAATATCATCAATTAATATTTTATCCAAAAACCAGCCTGGAAAAAGGAAGACATTCTTCAATTGGCACACAAGATGTTAATCATACGAGATAAACAGTTACTTACCAGCTGCTATGTTTTTGTTATTGTGAGCTATAAGAATTTTATCAATTTTACCGACAGATGGAATTTCTATATCAAAATGATCAATTCTGAACAAATAAACAATAGACGGTAAATTCAAATGAAAAGTGCAGTACAGTAGCACTTACGATCCTTGTTCAAAATTATTTTTTTTATTATCCAATAAAATTGCACCTGATTCACCAAGCTCACCAAATAGTGTGAGATAGACGTCGGCATCTGTACCAGCTCCTCTCTTGTTTCCCGTAAATACTGTTACTTTATATCGGTTTGCTTCAATGAAAGAAATATTTAAAGTTTTCAATACAAACTCAAAATAGACATTTAAAATAGATACAACAAAAAATGTCTAATATATTTCCAAGTTTCTCTCGAACATGCAAAGTAGTATTATTTAAATAAACATACATTTTCTATTATCTAATTCATTTTTACTGCAAATTAAATCTCTTGAAATTTGACCATCTCCTTCATCGCTGGCTAACCATTTATTGCACGAAACATAGTATTTTGTGTCTGGATCATATTGATCAGTTATAATAACCTAAAAGAGACAAACAATATAAACTTGAAAAAAAACTTTAGTAAACATACATACGCGGTCAAGAAACCATCCAGCAGCCCTTCCCGTATTGTCATGTTCAATACGTATTTTTTCTAATTCTCCAACATATTCAGCTTTCACATTGAATGTATCACTTTGACCTCGTTCAAATGGATTTTTGCTTCTTGATTGCAAATGAATTTTTTTTGTTTTTGATTCTTTTCCAAATAAAGTGATATATACATTTGCGTCAGTACCTGCGTTACGTTTGTCACCAGTAACGCATACAATTTCAAAATCTAGAATAGTACTGGTTACAAATACTTCAAAGAGAAAAAGTGCGAGTAAATTAACGAACCAGTTATTTTTGGAAGAGAAGATTCAAATCGATCATCAAGTAGATCTCCTGCTTTGTTACTGGGATATAATTCAATAGAAAGTGATCCATCACCAGGTGGAAATAAAGACAACCATTTGTTACAATGAAAATACCATGAACGATCTGTTCGAACGTTCGTTATCAATATACATTCACATAACCAACTTTGTTCAAATAAAACGCCACTGTGCTGAAAGACAAAAGAAAATACTAAAATCATGGTCTAATGAGCTCTAATGAGCATGCGTTATGAATTCATTCTATACTTCAAGAATAATATATTGAATAAGTCCAAGATTTCGACATCGAATATAGACCTCATCTATTGCTCCTCGTTCGAATTCCTTGGTTGATAAATTTATCGTGTTTTCATGGAGCAAAGCCGGTAACATGGCTTCTCTAAACATCGTTTCTCTCGTTAATGGTTCTCGATAGATTTTGTGTTTACTTCCGAAGATACTCAAAAACGCCTAAGAACAGAAAAAATGATTATAGATATATCTTTCGTTAATCTAAAAAGATCTTACTTTTGCATTTGTCCCTGCACGTTTCTCATCTGAAGTTTTTATTATAATCCGATATAAACCTTGTTCATGGTTGCTTTTGTTCTCTATCCTTTTCGGTTGCCGACCAAATTTTCTGGCATAATACTCTTGCATATGTGGATCATCGAACGGCTGATACGAAGGAAGTTTTTTGGAAGATCGATCTTATAAAAATAGTTCTATTTCAATAATGTTTTGCAAATTGTTTTGCGTATAACATACTTGTTGGACAGGCAGAATCTCGCGAAGACGAAGGATGAACAACTAAAATAGACATAAGATTATGTGGTTAACAGAAATATGTTTAAATGTAAAGATGACTCACCACGCTGACTTGATGATGGCAGATGAGATGTATATACATTTGAATAAGTGGCGGGTACAATAAAGGAGACGGGTTGTAACTGATAAGTAAGTAAGGATGCAGAAGGCTGGGAACATTGTCCCATAGTATATTTAATAGCAGAAGAACTTGTGCAAACTTCCATTATCTGATGATGTTGGTTTTTCTATACAAAGTCTAAAATAAATGAACAGGTAAACATCGAAGAATAATCTCTCTCATTGTGAAAAAGATCAAAAACTGTTCATGAAAAAAGGGGAAACTTTACAAGAAGAAATACTTCAGAAAAAACACAGAAGGGTGAGCATTACATTTGGCAGCATAAGTTGCATCTAAGTGAAGACCTTAAAAAAATTTGCTCAAACATCTGCAGATCAGTGCAATGGATTGTTACTATCCAAAAAAAACATGTGTTCACATGTAAAAACGTTCACGCCCCTTCATGACCAAAACTTTCTAGAAAACCGTAAACAAAAAACGAGGATTAAAATTCTCTTGAAGTATATTGAGCAGAAAACAACTGATCCACAAATAAGAAACCACAATATTGTCAATTTGGAGAGCAAGTCTAGTTTTCCAAAATTTTTCATAATTCACTTTCGAAAAGGGATTTAAACTTATTTTTTCTTACGATAAGACATCTTCAAGCCTCCCCTTTCGATTGACAAAAATTACAGATTCCTAGCTAAAGTGTTAAAATAACCGAAAACATTCTTGTTTGAAACTGATATGTACTGATCGAAATTCAGATAAAAACTAGGTAGAATTCAAATTTTAATCTGAAACAGTTTATTTTAAAACGATTTTAAAACCGAAACTTAAAAAGTTCTCTGCTGCTGAGATTGACAAGAGAACTAGAGGAGCTCAAGATTTTTCAAGTTTTTTCACTTCGCCTGCATTGAAGGGCAAAATATGAATAACGACAGTATACATAGATACAAACTTACCTACACTATATTCAACAAGCTTATAAATACTCAATTGCACAACTTATCTGAAAGAGCGTTTTTGAACTCGGTTATAAAATGTATTTTCAACGTAGGATGTTACATATTCTCAATAGTTATAAGTACTAATGATGTAAAATCAGTTTTAATGATTACTCACTCACGTATCACCAAATCGAAAAATTTTAAAAACTTGTACGATCAAAACCCATTGCAGATTCGTCTTCTCCATAGGCGATTATTTCTTACGCGATAACTTTGGATCGAGGTACTTCAGGAAAAATTTTCGATGTCGTTTTGCCTCTAGTCCTATGCAGTGACTTTCTCGAAAATTTCTGAGCAAGACCATGTGGAAATTTTTTTCTGAAGTACCTCGATTCAAAAGTTACCGCGTACAAAGATAAGCGACTATTGAAAAGACGAATCTACAATCGGTTTAGACCGAACAAATTTTTTAAATTTTTCGATTTGGTGATATATGCGAAACCAAACGACTAGTTAGTTGAAAAGAAGTCATGGTAGCAGCATTTTGTTGAGTGTCATTTGAAAACAGAGAATAAACAAAAAAAGCACAAAGGAAGAGAGAAACAAGATCATAAAAAAGCTCAAACATAAATTTGTTAAAGGAAATAAAGTTTTACTAGTATTTCTATTGCAATATGAAGTAACAAAATAGGAGCAAAATCGTTCCAATTTCATTATTTAGACCAAATCAAAACGTACATATCTTTCTAGTGTGTAAATCACAAAAAAACAACATCACATGATGTGACGTACAACTCCAAATTGAGAGCAGACAAGCAATCTGGAACCAGAAGAATTCCATAAGAAGAAAAATTTACTCATAAATTATCATCTTTTCTATCATCCTCGCTGCAAATGGCAGAAACGTTTCGTGAGCATCATAAACTGTTTATATCCTCCATCAGCCGCAGAACTTTCATCCTCATCCTAGAATACGAAGGGTGCAAAAATATCTCAAGTATTTGTCATGCACATGTCTACTTTGAGTGACCGTATAATGTACAAAATGTAAATTTTTCTAGTTCTTATCATGGTAGCGATTCATGAGGACACCTAAAACTTTAAAAAAAATTCAGCCACGGAAGACACTGTTCACCCATTTTGACAGTTCATTTAAGCAGTATGAAGCCATTACAATGATGAGTTACTATAGGTCGTCCTTCACTGAATATCATAATTCGATTAGATCCTACACAAAACTCGATTAAAGAAAAATCTTTTATAATACTCTTCTCTGAAGAAGTGCTGTTGCTATATCACAAATAACTATAGCAACAAGTAGCGCTTCCTGTTTTAATGTATTCTCTACATCTGCTATGGACAAATTACTTCTTTTAGTATTAACCACCTTATTTTAGTTGATTTTAAACATAATAAACTAAATAATACAGATTACTAAGGAACTTTTGTAATATACATTTATCTAAGCTGCTTCTTGCATTCCTGTTGGCTAAAATCTGACGAATGCACGTCGAAAATCAGTTACACAAACAAGCAAAGCAAACCAGACTGCGGTAAACCCGTACTGTAGTGTAATTCTTTCGCCAATTTTTACTCAGCTTTCTCATAGCTTCATTTTCATCTAGGGTGGTGTAGAGTTTTCTTTTCTTTTGGCGAAAAACTCTATGGGCACCCGTGAAACTTTTGTTCTACGGAAAACAATGTTCCAGATGTTTCTTTTGAAAAACGAGCCTAATGTTCTAAGGCTAACTTTTTATGCTATATACAATGCGTATATTAAAATCTTCGTGGCTGCTGTGTTATGGAATACTGGGTGGAGCTGTATGAAAGCACTACGGTACAAGAAAAAATCTAAAGAAAATTAAGTTTTTCGGAGGACTTCAGGTTTCTAAATCTAATACTAGACGGACGATATAGAAAAATCTAGTATTCAAAATCTTGATCTTGATTGTGCTTTCTTTAAAATCACAGATCACTATGAGTCGCAACGAATTAGATTTTTTTTAAAAGGTTTTGGCGGCTTGTCCACGCAACATGACACTTCGCTAATTAAGCTTTTAAAATTTTTAGCCATCCGAGAACCAATACTAGCACATCAGTAGATGTAGTTTAGATGCTAATTACGAATCCGTCTCCTTAGCAAATAAAAATAAAAATTTTAGTGGAATAATTTTAATTTAAAATTTTTGACCGAGCACCTTTTTTAAAAAAATTTAAAATTTACACCATTCGATAGAAAATTAAATTCTCTACAAAATAGCTCATTTTTTTCGACAGTTTGACTTTAGGGACAAAACTTTCGATGTTCACAACAACTTCTCTAAAATGTTTACGGTAGACAGTTTACATCTGCTCAAGTAGTTTCGGAGGAAAATAGCGTTTAATTGGATTGACGCTTAATTTATAGCTCTGTTTTGTCACGTCCATCACGCACAGAATATTCCTTCCCAAAGTCGTAAATATTCCCAAATTTTCTTATTTTTTACCAGAGACAACAGTGAACTGCACAAAATGGCGGTAGAATCAGCCTGCTGCCTCTTATAGTTTCTATAAAAACTGAGCGTTACTATATCAAAAATGTCACGCCGTTACCAGGCTTGGATGAGTCCGAGTCCGGACTGGAATATTTTTCGGTGGACTTGGACTGGAGATTTTTTTGAAGGGCTCAGACTCGAACTTGAGTTTTGATATTTCAAGTCCGATCCACACAAGTCTCAATAACTTAGCTGAAAAGCTTCTATGTGTTCCGGCTACATCGACGCCTATTGAGTGTATTTTTTCTCAATCAGGTTATTTGATTAGACGCGAAAGAGCGGATTTTACGAGAAACAATCTATCTCAACTGACATTGTTAAAATGTAATAGAAGATTCAACAAGATTGATGTAATAAATGCCACAGAAAAAAAAGAGAAATAACCCACAATCATCAAAAAAGAATCTAAAAGATTACCGGACTCGAAATGGACTCGGTACTCGGACCCGGATTGAGTTTTTAAGGACTCGACTCGGACTCGCCCATTCCTGGCCGGTACCTTTGGACAAGCCACTGGAAGTGATAAAGCAAGGATAAAACTAGAACACTCAACGAAAGATCTGAAAGTAAGAATGGTCGAATCGGGATTAGAGCGAGCAGATTGTCTGATGTGTTGTTATACAACGCAAACAGACTGGAAAGATAAAAAGAAAATTTTAGAGAAAAATTCATTTCAAATAAGCCGAGCTACCTCAAAATCAATTGTTCTGTACAAGAAGATGCTTGACGATGATGGACATATACTATGTAAGAAAAATAACCATTCAAATCACCATTGTCTTACAACAAAGTCACTTTCAATCAGCGATCGTCGTTATATAACGGTAATACATCAGTATATAAATAGTACGAGTTGGTTTTCTAAATATCATCGATCGACTAAAAGCTTGAAGTATCCATTTATATTCAGTTATGCTTCGTGCTTTTCCATCCACACAATCAATTAATGTTATTAAGCTAAAACAGCTAACAATAGCGTTTTGTTTATTAATGACTTGAATGAGGTAGAATACAATTTTACCGTTTATAGTCTTATGT